GCAGTGCCTGGAGACAGCAGTATAGACGAGAAAGAACTGGAGAAGATAACAAAATACAAAAACCTACAAATAGCAATAGAAAGACTCTGGCAAAAGCAAGCAAGGGTAGTACCATTAGTAATAGGCGCCTTGGGTGCAATCCCAAAACAATTGGAGCAACACTTGAACACCATTGGCATTGACAAATTCGCCATTAGTCAATTGCAAAAGGTGGCCTTACTAGGAACTGCTTCCATCCTGCAACGATATCTGTAATACCATTAAACATCCACATCTGCCTATCCCGGGTCCTTGGTAAGGACTCGATAGGTAGACAAAAATGCCAAATCCAGTCTGAACATCTGGCTGACTGTGCGATGATCCATAATAATAATAATAGTGTTGGAAGGGACCTTGGAGGTCTTCTAGTCCAACCCCCTGCTCAGGCAGGAAACCCTACACCATTTCAGACAAATGGCTGTCCAATCTCTTCTTAAAGAGACTGCCATTTATGACCTTGTCACCTGTGACATTCCCGGACAGTTTCCAGCAAGCAAAGTCAATGGGGGAAAGTTAGATTCACTTCATCATGGGATTCACTTAAGAGCTACAATGAGTCACATAACAACTGTGATTTTACAAAGTCACGAAATCATCTGCAATTCATTTAACAGTCCGCCTTGCTTAATCATGAAAATTCTGGTTCCAGTTGTGATGGTAAGTGGAGGATTGCCTATAAACTAGACTTTTCATGGACTCAATTCAGATCAGATCAGATCATATGCAGTATCTGCAGAAGATAGAGAAGCTGCCCATATGATACAAGCTGTGGGGGTTTTTTTTCCTGTGTCATAACTATTACGGTTTAGCAACCGCTCTTCAAGCATGCGGATAAGACATGCATTCACAGAGGAGTATAAAAGAGCAAGAGGCAATCTAATCTTAAAAGAAATCTCAGTAAGAGTTGAAAAAAAACCCAACCAGTTGAAATTCTTGGGGTGCCACCTTCATGCTGGGAAGAGACAAATATATGATTAAGTTCTCGCTGGTCTCTTCTCTAGGGAATAAATCAGGATGTGTTGAATAGTCCTTTCTGATTCAAGTGTTCTAGGAGAACTGTAGTGGTCTAATATCTACTGATACATGTGGTTGTCCAGACAAGCACGTCCAGAGGTCCTAGTTCTAACTTCATAGTAAAATGACATTAACAGAATCTTGCAAGTCTGAAAGTAGATCTCCCTCCCCCCTTGACTTTACAGCCAAGAAACTCGGGAAGATCCCTTTTGAGATGTTTGCTATGTCCCTCTTTCTTCTGCAGGCTCAGCTGGCATACTGTATGTCCCACCGTTTTCTAATCTGCAGTTCTTCATCCGTCTCCCAAGGCTCTTCCCACATATCATTACAGTAGGGCGGTGTGTCTTGGACTTCTGGGAGTTGAAGTCCAGACTTTTGAAGTTTATTGAGGTTGAGAAACCTCAACAGGGATAGAAGGTGTTTTGGGTGGGCTATCCCAGTCAACAAACTGGTTGCAAAGGCAGTTTGAAACTTTCAAAACCTCACCCGGTGGACCAGTCATGAAACATTCAGCAGTCAGAAGGGGTTTCTGGTGCATGCATATGGTGCCTGGATCAAAACCTCCCCCAGTCACTAAAACACCAAAGAGGCCTCAGAAATGAAGCAATGCCATCGCTTGACTTGTAGAACCAAGAACTTATTTCATCACGTAGCTGTGATGAGAAATTTTGCAGGCATCTTCCAAACTTGAAGTCCTCCGTGCAAGATACCCGGATCTAACTAAATTCAGGTGTTGCTCTCACCTCATGGAAAAAACAGGCTATTTCTTATAGCAACATTTCTCTCATCCTACAGAGTGGAGGTAGCCTGAAATATTAGCCGCCTCCCCCCCTTTTTTTTAAACCCTTCATTTTTGGGATGAAAGGTGACCAAGGAGTTTAAGGCACTCACTTAGCAGAAGAACAACTGCTGAAGTTGTTCTCTGCTGTCACCCTCAGCTTAGCCTGTTTCTGAAAACAAAAGGGATGCCATAAGATGTAACTTAAGAGCGGTAAAGTTTCAACACTTCGATTGCATCAGCGGAGTGGTTGAAAAAGGTTTTAAAGATTGTCTGGTTTCCTCTGGGCTTGGAGAGACGTTTTAAGGGACAAAAGTGGGAGCTTTAAGCCTTGAGAATATATAAAGCCGCTACCTGATCCTTAAAACCTCAAATCTCCCCCCCCCCAAGGGATCTCTTTGGTCCTCATTTGGAGCCAACAGAGACATGTGCTTTACAATCGAATCTGTTTCCTTCACTAACTTATGGGAAAACCTAAGATCTTCTGCCTGTCACTTCATGCTAATAACCCCCTCCTGCACCCGCCAATCCTCTTTCAAAACAATTCATTAGGGCACACCATTATTTTAACTTTTTCAGATCTTTCTTTCAGGCAAAGAGGAAATGGCAAGCAGAAGCTCCGTTCTTGAATCCTCGGAAAGTGGGATTATTTAGCTTTAGGAAGAGAAGAAAGGCCAGTCTATGAAGAAAGGGAATTCTCAGGGGAATAATCATCTGAGAGAAAAAGGGAAGAAAAGGAGAATAATGTTCAAGTGAGATACACCTGGATATGGCAGCCCCTTGCACGATTATGCAAAGGTTCTGCAAGTTGTGGAGCATGGGCACACCCCTTGCAAAATCTGTCCGATCAGAGAGGACAGTTGCGAATATTTAGCAACAGCACCAGTTTCATTCCACCCTCAAGTTATTTAAAAAAAAAAACCTCTGGGAGGAACGCATCTTACTGCTATCTGAGACTCTGTGGCCACCTCTCAGCCCTTGCCTTGCTCACCATTTGCAGATTCACCGGGCCTTCCATTGGGAGCTGGTATGCGGTTTCACCTCAAGGAGGTCTTCAGGTTCTGCTTCTCGGATGCCTTCTAAACGGAAGGGCAGGAAGTCACGGAAGAACCTGATTGCAAGACACAATAGACCTGCCTTTTCCTTTGCAAAATCACAGGGTCACAATCAAGGGAGTGCTGAACATCATGGGGGGGGGCTCCCTTTACAAGAAAATACTTGCAGGGTAAATGCGGAGGGAAGATCCAAGAAAAGACAGATTTTTGTGACTTTCAGATATTGGAAGAGGAGCCTGTTAAAAGAGGAGAGGGAAAACAACTTGGTTGTTTGGTTGGGGTGCGGGGGTGGTGGTGGTGAAACAACAGGAACCAATGCTGTGGTGGTTAGGTACCAGAGGTTCAGGTGCTACTAAATATTGGAGCTGTTTTGGTTGTTTTGGGACCCGATGCTATTTAAGAGTGCAGTCTATTAACAGTCTTGTGAGGAGAGGAGAGGAGAGGAGAGGAGAGGAGAGGAGAGGAAAGGAAAAAGAAAGGAGATGAGGGGAAGGAAAAAGAAAGGAGAGGAGAGGAAAGAAAAAGAGAGAAGATAGGAGAGGAAGAAAAAGGAGAGGAGAGAAGGAAAGGGAGGGAGGGAGGAAGGAAGGAAGAAAGGGAGGGAGGGAGGGAGGAAGGAAGGAAGGAAGGAAGGAAGGAAGGAAGGAAGGAAGGAAGGAAGGAAGGAAGGAAGGAAGGAAGGAAGGAATCCTTAATCAGCCATGTTACCGATATGATACATACAACTTGTAAGGACCCACCCCACTTTGCATCTTAAGAAGACAGAACTCTTGGAATCGTTGTTCCAACAGGCATCCTTTATTAAGAGAAAATGGTTGCAGGCGTTCTAGACAGGACTTGGGGTCCAAGCTCTCCCATTCAAGGTTTTAAGGGGTTCCCCAGTAGCCCCACCCAATCACTCCCCTCTTCCAGCGACAGTCTCAGGCATTACACTCCCACCCCCTTTTCCTTACTGCCGGCTGGATGGAGACTTCAAAGAAAACTACATGAAAGGTAATAGCCACATTCTTATGGTTATTCCTTTTGGTGATACACACATCCAGTTCCTTTCTTCAGAGAAAACTACATGAAAGGTAATAGCCCCATTCTTATGGTTAGTCCTTTTGGCGATACACACATCCAGTTCCTTTGAAGTGTACCGAAGGAAGTGAGGGCCATAAAGCCCCTTTGTTCACCCCCTTCCCTTCATCGTATGACAGAATCCATAGAAGGCAGAAATGGGTTTTTTTATAATTGATAACTAGAGATAAATATAATTGGATTCTGACACAACTATAAGATGGACAATAGGCCCAGCTTGATTTTGGGGAGCAATTTGTGATAGGGAGGAAAAGTGGCCATTAAATGAGACCACCGAATATTTCTCCTGTTCTTATCCTTTAAATAAAAACTACTTCAGCTGGGGCTGCCGGTCTGAAGAGTAAGCTCTGCTGCAACAACATTAGGAGCAAAACTGCAGGGATGTCTAAAATGGCACAGGTGAAAGGACGCCGTCAGATAAGCACTGCAATTACATCCTTGCATCAGGACCTTGTATCCACGGATGTAAGTCACAGTCTTTGGGTGTTGATGACACGGATGTGCTATCATTGCCCAGCCTCGCCCCTCTGCTGTTGCCCCTGGAAGTCTGTTAAAATCCCCCTTTCTTTTCTGCCAGCTTTGTATGGTGCTTTGTGCAAAAGTCTAGCAACATATTGCATCTCTGCCCGATCTCCGGGATTTTCAATCATCTATCAATGCCACTCTGAAGCTCCATTTCAGTGACAGGTGAAGACCTTTCTCTTTCCCCCAGCCTTTTTTTATTGTCATTTTTAAATTGATTTTGAATTGTCTCTTGATCCAGAGTTTTGAAGGGCTGACCTCGACTGCTGCCTTGTTTGTAGGGTATCTTTATTTGGTCATTTATTTGATTTTATTGCATGTTGTTTTAACTTGAATTATATTACGGCTGCGTTTTGCTGTAAACAGACCAGAAAACCTAAGATATAAAACAAATATCTTTACAAAAATGTCTGTCTTGGAATTGGGCGAGGAGTGGATAGAGATTTTGAACAAAGGGAAATGTTGAGTAAAGTGGATATTGGTTTTTTATTAAGAAAAGAAAAAAAGGAAGATTGTACACAGACACGCAGATAAAAAGCGTCAGAGGTTCCGGATGTAATGAGGGGAAGCATTTATCCTGAGATTTATCTCGCTGGCTGTGTGGCCTGGTTCATTTTTCATTCTGTGGAGACTGAAATGAGAGAAAAAAAGAGAATCATCTGAAGGAAATCCTAAATGGAATCCACGAAAAAGCCTCTTCCTCATTATTTTTTTTTTAAAATTCAGACAGAATCTTGTTCTTGTGGCATCTTGCTTTGAAGGAAGAAATAAACTTTTTTAAATACATTTTCACAGCATTAGAATGGAACTGGAAGGCTGAGCAGAGTATACATGTAGTCCTCATTTAGTGACTATTTACAGTTATGACAGTGATGAAAAAGCAACTTAGTGACCAATCCTTGTACTTAACAACCTTCACAGAACTGTGAGGCAAAAAAAAAAAAAAACAGAGTAAAATCATAAGGAAAAGTTGCAGGTTCATTACTGGCCACAGAGCCTAATGGCCCCGTTGCTTGTCCCAGTTTCAGTCACTAAACGAGGACTACGTATAGCTAAGGGCCTCATATCATCTTAGAAAAAGAATAAAGGCAGGATTCTAATAAATAAGTACATAAAATCTATTCATATAAATGATTGAAGATGTTTGGACTTCAGCTCCCAGATGTGTGGACTTCAATTCCCCATGGCTGGCAGGCAATTCTGGGAGTTGAAGTTCACCCAAATACAGTAGAACAGGAGTCTTCAAACTTGTCCCTTTTAGGACTTGTGGACTTCAACTCCCAGAATTCCTCAGCCAGGCACCCCTGCAGTAGAAAGACACCAGGGCAATAAAAATATGTCTCTCACCACAATTTCTGGACTAGATCTTTTTCTATTTCGATCAATCTCGACATAGGCGATCTGGAGGAAAGGAAAGAAAGCAAATTCAGTTCTAAAACCCTAACCCTGACCATCACCACCCCAGTTTTTACAAGAATTTTTATTTGGCAGCCTTCCTTGTTAGGGAAATTGGAAGCAATGGTAGCTGAACCCATTTCTGCAAATGCTTCCCCCATGGTAAAAATGCTTTTGTTTTTCTACTTCATTTCTAAGTGCTTTCGAATTGTTTTTGAGTTTCTTATGGTCATGTTACTGAGTTTTTTCCCCTTTCTCTTTATGACCCTGTAATCCCTTGATTTGGGGTGGGATCGGGTAGAGCTGAGCATTTACTGGCCGGTTGCCCTTCTTGACGCCTATGTGGAGTTCGGAGTATATATTTTCTCTTTGTACCATTTTTTTCATTATGCTCTTGATTTTTATTACTAGGGTGTGAATTTGCATTTTCAACGGTTTCGTATGAAAGTTATGCATTAATAGCTAACCTTCTTTGAAACCATAGCTCTGGATGACCTCTCTACAGATCCAGTCACATCTTCCTTCCGGATCTACTGTAGCCACAGTTACAATAATATGCTCAACTCTTGGTGAATTCATGGACTTGTCTACGCAGGTTTCTTTACAAAAATATCAAAATGGATGCCAGAAAGCATTTAGTGATTTAAGTTGAGGGTCTCTCTTTTTTTTCTCGAGTGCTATGGCACTCCAGGTTACCTTCTAAGACCCCATTCCTAAAAGAAAAAGCTTAACTATCCTTCACCCCAGAAGGGGGCTGGATGCTAAAACATATGAAGAACATTTATAGGAATTAGGTATGTCTTGTCTAGGGCAGTGTTTCCCAAACTTGACAATTTTAAGGCATGAGGACTTCAACTCCCAGAATTCCACAGCCAGCAACGCTGGCTGTGGAATTCTGAGAGTTGAAGTCCACATGCCTTAAAATTGTCAAGTTTGGGAAACACTGGTCTAGGGGAAAGAAGGACTAGCGGTGACATGACAGCAGTGTCCCAATACTTAAAGGGCTGCCCCAAAGAAGAGGGGGTCAAGCAGTTAGAACAATTGATCAGTGGAACAACCTGCCTCCAGAAGCTGTGGGTGCTCCAACACTGGAGGTTTTTAAGAAGAGACTGGACAACCTTTGTCTGAAATGGTATAGGGCAGTGATGGTGAACCTTTTAGAGACCGAGTGCCCAAACTGCAACCCAAAACCCAGTTATGTATCGTCGGGTGCCAGGTGGGTGTGGCTCATTGGGTGGGCGTGGCCCATTGGGTGGGTGTGGCTGCAGTGGTAACGGCAGACTGGGAGGGATTAAAAAGTTCAATCAATCAATTCCAACTTTGAGAGATCTTTTTTCCCTCAAGAAGTTGAAATTGATTGATTGAACCTTTTTTTTTTTTTGCACACGGCGGTGGAGGCCTAAAGCAAAAAGGTTTTATAAAATCCAGCTGAAGGCCTAGGACTGGAGTGATGGCATGCATGCCCACAGAGAGGGCTCTGTGTGCCACCTGTGGCACATGTGCCATACGTTTGCCACCACAGGTATAGGGTTTCCTGCTTGAGCAGGGGGTTGGACTAGATGACCTCCAAGGTCCCTTCCAACTCTGTTTTTCTTTTCTCCTGCTTCCTTTTTTCTGTTTTTTTCCAACTTTCAACTCAAGCCTACAGCTGTGGTATGTCCTGATATTCTCCCATGAAAGAAGTAACTAGTATAACCACAGTTAGGAGCAAGCGAATTCCTTGAGATATTTGTGGTATCAAGGCAAAGTGAAGTGAAGGACTTCATGAAGGGGAATAGCCTGCCCAGAGGTGCTCTTGGAAGTATCCCCCCCCCCAACCAGAACATTGAATGTAAGACTAAATATTTTCAAGTAAAAATCTCACAAAGACATGTGATCTTGCAAGATTTCAGCTCTTTTTAAACAAAATCAAACATCACAGCGTCAGAATGTACAATAGAAACCCCCCCCCCCAACAACATCACTGACCTCTGTTAAGAAACAATTAGGAAACAAAATTGAGAATGCATGAATTTGAAGCTCCAATGTACGACTTACCAGAGAAGTAGTAAAGCATGACTATCAAGAGTAAAAGTATTACACATGTTCCAAGAATAATTGCAGGAAGTTGAACATTTTGCAGCGTCTTCACTGTGCAGAGAAGAGCAACAAAGATGATTAGGGGACTGGAGGCTAAAATGTACAAAGAACAGTTGCTGGAATTGGATATGTCTAGTTTAATGAAAAGAAGGACTAGGGGTGACACGATAGCAGTGTTCCAATATCTCAGGGGCTGCCACAAAGAAGAGGGGACGGGTCAACCTATTCTCCAAAGCACATAAAAGCAGGACAAAAATCAGTGGATGGAAACTAATCAGGGAGAGATTCAACCTAGAGCAGTGGTTCTCAACCTTTTTAATGCCATGACCCCTCAACCGGTCGTAAGTCGAGGACTACTCAACCGGTCGTAAGTCGAGGACTACTCAACTGGTGCAGCACCGTTTGCAGAATGGGCTCAGCAGGGCAGAGACAGCCTGGACAATTCCTATTGGCTTTTGAAAGCCAATAGAATTAGACTCTATTCAAGAGAGTCTATTTTATTGGCTTTCAAAAGCCAATAGGATAAAAGGGAGTAGCACAGCTAAGGAAAAGGGGAAAAAAATGGCAGACTGCATTGTTTGGCGACCCCCGTGAAATGGTCGTTCGACCCCAAATGGGGTCCCGACCCACAGGTTGAGAACCACTGGTCTAGAACTAAGGAGAAATTTCCTGACAGTTACAACCATTTATCGATGGTACAACTTGCCCTCAGAAGCTGTGGGCTCTCCTTCACTGGAGGTTTTTAAGAAGAGATTGGACAACTATTTATCTGAAATGGTATAGGCTTTCCTGCCTGAGCAGGGGGTTGGACTAGAAGACCTCCAAGGTCCCTTTTAACTCTGTTATTTTGTTGAGATTTAAAGGTTAATGTCCCAGAAAAATAACAGAATTCCACACAATCACCATTCCTTCTCCAATCCTTCAAAACTGGTTTGTAGACGTTTTGGGATGGTCTTCAGACCTGCTGGCCCTCAACAAAAGAATAAGGGGCAACATCCCATGTCACTAGAGTTCTACATTACAGTCAGCCAAGTAAAGGAGACTGTTAATGCATTGTTAAATCTCAGCCATTCACATCCTTGCTTCACGGGTGTGTGCATTTGTCTGATCAGAATCTTGTTAGAAGTTACTTATGTTGACCAGATAAGAAAGCTATTTCTGGAATCTATGGCTAGATTCATAATTTTGGGATACAGGATTGTTGTTATTATGGCTTAGCAATTGGAATGAATCCAACTTGTTTATGGATGATTGTATTATGTCATCTCAGAAAAATGACCCAATGTAATGAATGACGCCAGGATGTGAATGCAGCATTGAGTTGTTAGTTTGTGTTTAATGTCTGGTGGGGGGCTACGGCTATTCTAACTGATTGTATCCATGCGTTGTGTGACTAGGAAAGCATGTTAACCCATACTGTATTTTATTCATTGGATATATTGCATGTTATTTGAAAATAACATTTGTGTTTTGTTTAAAATGGTTAAGGCACCTGGGCGGGAATTCTAGCCCTGCCTTAGACATGAAAGCTGGCTAGGTGTCTTTGGATCAATCATCAGAAGACTGTGAGTTCTAGTCCCGCCCTAGGCATCAAAGCCGGCTGGGTGACCTTGGGCCAATCACCAGAAGATGATGAGTTCTAGTCCCGCCTTACGAATCAAAGCTGGCTGGGTGACCTTGGGCCAATCACCAGAAGATGATGAGTTCTAGTCCCACCTTAAGCATCAAAACCAGTAGAGCAGTGTTTCCCAAACTTGACAATTTTAAGGCACGAGGACTTCAACTCCCAGAATTCCACAGCCAGCAACGCTGGCTGTGGAATTCTGGGAGTTGAAGTCCACATGCCTTAAAATTGTCAAGTTTGGGAAACACTGCAGTAGAGGACTTTGTGCCAGTTACTTTGTCAGCCCAAAACAGGGTTGTTGTTGTTGTTGTTGTGAGGGAAATTGGAGGAGAAAAAAAGAATTATGTATATTCACTGCCTTGAGTTGCTTATGAAGTAATAAAGGTGGGAATGAATAAAATAAGTAAATAAATTCAATCAACGTGTGCAATTTAGGGGACATTGCTCATAATAAATGAATAATCATAATGCTAACGACGGAAAGAACACACAGGATAATCACAATGAATTTATAACACTGATTTCAATGACATTTCTTATTTGTGTAGCTTACTCCGAATGCTGTTCCAGTAATTAATAGTAATGATAATGAATAATGAATGAATGAATGAATACTATAATAACAAATTAAAGTTACTCTTTGTACACGGGTATCTGCATTTCCAAAGCAAGAGAAAGCAAGACAAGAAACGATGGATGGAAACTAACCAAGGAGAGAATCAATCTGGAATGAAGGAGAAACTTCCTAACTGTGAGGACAATTAACCAGTGGAACAAAAGTTGCCTTCAGAAGTTGTGGGTGCTTCATCACTGGAGCTTTTTAAGAAGAGACTGGACAGCCACTTGTCTCAAATTGTATAGGGGTTTGAGCAAGGTTTTGGATTAAAACAGTTGTTCTCAACCTTTTTAATGCCGCGACCCCCAACCGGCCGTAAGTCGAGGACTACTCAACTGGTGCAGCACGGTTTGCAGAATGGGACTTTTGGCGGGCTCAGCAGGGCAGAGACAGCCTGGACAATTCCTATTGGCTTTTGAAAGCCAATAGAATTAGACTCTATTCAAGAGAGTCTATTCTATTGGCTTTAAAAAGCCAACAGAATAAAAGGGAGTAGCACAGCTAAGGAAAAGGGGGAAAAAATGGCGGACTGCGTTGTTTGGCGACCCCCGTGAAATGATCATTCGACCCCAAATGGGGTCCCGACCCACAGGTTGAGAACCACTGGATTAAAAGATCTCCAAGGTTCCTTCCAGCTCTATTCTGATTGGATTGCAAGGGAGCACCTAACTCTGCCCCTTGAACAGGGGTAAGACAAGTGGAACTTGCATCATGATACATCATCTTGGCTCCCCTGGGATGATAGGGTTTTTCCCACGAAACCCCGGATGTTCCAAGATCCCCCCACCAAGCCCATTCCTTGCTAAGGCAAGAAGCACCACTATAGTGCAACACGGATTACAAAGTAATTTCAGGACAGGAGAAACTCACCTGTCTTGTCTGGAAGAGACAGCATCTTCAAATTGGAGAATCCAATAGGATTTATGCCTCTGCAAGTGATTATATAGGAATTTAATTTATTTCCTAGGAGATGTAAGGAACTGACGCCAGTGTTGCCTCGAATTGAGAATGTGATGTTTACATCGTCGGAGGTGATGTTCTTGATTAAATGTTGGTGGTTCAAGTACCACTGGATCTGTGGTGGAGGCCAAGAGTGGAAGGCACAAGAACAAACGGTGGTGCCATTGCTGTCATACTTACAAATATGAATGACCCTGACTTGAGGACTATCTGGAAGAGGGCAAAACAAACACACAATTTCTCTGGGCAAAAGAAGCAAGGTCCATAACTATCAGCTGGGTATCCCAAAGGCGCTTTTTCACGAGGCAACTGGACTTTCTTGTTTTTCTTTGAAGACATTTCGCTTCTCATCCAAGAAGCTTCTTCAACTCTGACTGGATGGTGGGGAAGGGAAGGATCTATACTCCTTGCAGATAGCTGGGCATTTGCCTTCTTTTTAGAGAGTCCTTGAGGCCACCTGGAGGTTTATGTGTGTCCTCAAGGTCACCTCAGTGGTGCAAATGGGTGTGCAGTCTTCTTGGAACTCTCTAGAAAGAATGCAAATGACAGTTGTCTGCAAGGAGTATAACTCCTCCCCTTCCCCACCATCCAGTCAGAGCTGAAGAAGCTTCTTGGAGGAGAAGCGAAATGTCTTCAAAGAAAAACAAGGAAGTCCAGTTGACTCCTGAAAAAGCACCTTTGGGACATCCATGACCTAGACCAGGGGTAGGCAACCTTGGCTCTTTTATGACTCGTGGACTTCAACTCCCAGAATTCCTGAGCCAGCATGGCTCAGTATGGAAACCTCTCCCTTTCCCCTCAGCATGGCTGGCTCAGGAATTCTGGGAGTTGAAGTCCACGAGTCATAAAAGAGCCAAGGTTGCCTATCCTTGACCTAGATGACTGAGAATCTCCATAGATCTATCAGCTGGGTATCCATTGCCTCAAAGAGGAAGAGAAGTCATCTTAATATCGTAAGATCTGACCAATGCGGACAAGGCATCACCTTTTGGCTGGTGTAATAATACAGAAAACAAAAAAGAAATTTAACATTCCTGTTTTCTATAATGTCCTGGACCTTATAAAACACCAAGAAAAGAAAAAAAGAAAAAGACAATCCCTATTCTGAAATATCTCACAACATTTGGGCATTTTCTCCCAATGGCAAGATTTTTAGCATTCTCAACTCATTGCTGGTCAGAATACCAAAACGTTAGTGATTTCATGATGCTTCAGCCTTTTTTTAATGTCTTGGTTTGCTTGGGTGCGGCCTTCACTGTTGGCTCTCGGTGACTTGGAACACGTAGAGAGATGCCCTTTGGTTAACTTCTACTACTCTATCAGTGTTTCTCAATCTTGTCCACTTTAAGAGGCATGGACTTCAACTCTCAGAATCCCCCAGCCAGACATGTTCGACTTGACCAGGCAACCTTGGCTCTTTTATGACTTGTGGACTTCAACTCCCAGAATTCCTGAGCCAGCATGAGGGAAACTTTGCCCCCCTCATGACTTGTGGACTTCAACTCTCAGAATTCCTGAGCCAGCATGAGGGAAACTTTGGCCCCCTCATGACTTGTGGACTTCAACTCCCAGAATTCCTGAGCCAGCATGAGGGAAACTTTGGCCCCCTCATGACTCGTGGACTTCAACTCCCAGAATTCCTGAGCCAGCATGGCTCAGCTTGGAAACCTCTCCTTTTCCCCTCAGCATGGCTGGCTCAGAGATTCTGGGAGTTGAAGTCCACGAGTCATAAAAGAGCCAAGGTTGCCTACCCCTGGACTTGACTTATGATGACAGTGACCTACGATGGAAATTCCAGTCCAAATGTGGTCATAACTGGAGGCTTGCCCTCAAGACAGATCTCCTCCTCTCTCTCTCCTCTTGCTTGGAGTACAGGAAGTCCTCGACTTACAACCACAATTGAGCCCAAAATTTATGTTTGCTAAGGGGACGCTTGTTAAGTGAGTTTTGCCCCCTTTTTATGACCTTTCTTGCCACAGTTGTTCAGGGAAGCACTGCAGTTGATCACTTAGCAACCCATTGACTTGTCAGAAGGTCGCAAAAGGTGATCACATGACCTCAGGACACAGCAACGGCCGTAAATATGAAACCAGTCGCCAAGCGTCTGGATACTGATCCCATGACCATGGAGATGCTGCAACGGTCGTTAACTGAAAAACAGTCCCAAGTCTTCAGTGCTGTTGTAACTTTGAACGGTCCCTAAATGAACTGTTGTAAGTCAGGGATTACTTGGAGTGCACCAAGAGGCAAAGCGCTTCAGGGATAAAGCCTGGGGCAAAGAGTTAGAGAAGAGAGCTACTCACATGCCATGTGAAGCTGGACAGCATTTTGTATGAGTTTCGTTGTGGTAGGATACTTTAAATAACAAATGAGGATTAACCCTTCATTATCTAAAGAGGGTACGAAGCTGAGGTTTGCTCCATAGGTCCAGGACCATCTGCTCTGTTGGATGGCCCAATCAGAAAAGTTCCATTGGCTTGGTTTCAAGGACCAGAGGATCTGAGGCTTAGGTTTCAAGCAGCAATCCGGTTTCACACAGCTGAAAACGACGGTTTCTCCCCAGAGAAAGGAAGAAGGCTTCCAAATTATTGGCTTCTTGATATCTAAGCAAGAAAAAGGGCGATGGAAGGCCATTTGGTGGCACCACCCTCCCCCCAGCTGCCTTGATCAATCCGGCCCGTTCTGTAATTGGGTATGTCCAGTTTAATGAAAAGAAGGGTTAGGGGTGACAGGATAGCAGCATTCCAATATCTAAGGGGGGTTGTGGGTGTCAACCTGTTCTTCAAAGCACCAGAAGGCAGGACGAGAAGCAATGGATGGAAATCAAGGAGAGAAGCAACCTAGAATGAAGGAGAAATTGCCTGATAACTAGAACAATAACTCGGTGGAATGACTTGCCTTTAGAAGTCTTGGCTGCTCCATCACTGGAGGTTGCTAAGATGTCTGGAATGGTAGGGGTAGGCAACCTCAGCTCTTTTAGGACTCATGGACTTCAACTCCCAGAATTCCTGAGTCAGCTATGCTAACTCAGGAATTCTGGGAGTTGAAGTCCATGGAGACGAGGTTGCCTACCCCTAAGGCAGTGTTTCCCAAACTTGACAATTTTAAGGCATGTGGACTTCAACGCCCAGAATTCCACAGCCAGCAATGCTGGCTGTGGAATTCTGGGAGTTGAAGTCCACATGCCTTAAAATTGTCAAGTTTGGGAAACACTGCCCTAAGGTATATCCCCTACCTGATCAGGGGATAGGAGACCCCCATGGTCTCTTCCTATTCTGTTATTCTGTATATTGTGGCTTCATCTGCAAAAGTCTTACTATACCTGGGCAACAAGGATCCAGGCTTGTCTGTGGCTCTCCAACATTCCCACCCCCCCCCCGTTCTAAAAATAAAGGCCTCAAAAACGTCAAAGAAGAAGGGGAGAAAGTTCAAGAACTTGCTTACCTGTCACCACAATTTGGGGATTTGTGTGAGGTTGTGTACTAGGCGATACAAATGCATGCCTAAATCCTGGTCCTTTATCAATTCTCAGGTAGTACTTGCCCGAGTCCTCGAACTGGGCATTTGCAATGCTGAAGGAGCAGCTGCCTTTCCTTGGGTCTCCTGTCAGCTTAAAATCGGTAATTTCGGCTTTCTGTCTTAAGTCATTGGTGACCATCAGTTCTCCTGATACCCAGATGTTGATCCACAACATATAGTAACGTCTCTTCGAACTCTTAAACCAATAGACGTACAAGGGCGAGGAGCTTTTGGAGTACCATTCAGGAACTGTGAACGTGCAGGGCACATCAATGCAATGATTCAGTTCAACAAAGACTTTCTCAGGCACTGAAATCGAATAGCCAGGATGGATGGTCAGAGTGTCTGGTGGGAGAAGAGAAGGATGTAATTGGCAGGGCCCCGCTAAACTTATATTTTTCCCCCAAAGCTTTATTCAGAGATGGTCTGTTCAAAGAGAGAAGCATCCTGGAATTAAGGAGAAACTTCCTGACAGTGAGGACAATTAACCAGTGGAACAGCTTGCCTCCAGAAATTGTGGGCGCTCCATCACTGGAGATTTTTAAGAAGAGACTAGACCAGGGGTAGGCAACCTTGGCTCTTTTATGACTTGTGGACTTCAATTCCCAGAATTCCCGAGCCAGCCATGCTGAGGGGAAAGGGAGAGGTTTCCAAGCTGAGCCATGCTGGCTCAGGAATTCTGGGAGTTGAAGTCCATGAGTCATAAAAGAGCCAAGGTTGCCTACCCCTGCCTTATACCATTTCAGACAAGTGGCTGTCCAGTCTTTTCTTGAAAACCTCCAGTGATGGAGCACCCGCAACTTCTGGAGGCAAGCCCTTCCACTGGTTAATTGTCCTCACTGTCAGGAAATTCCGCCTTAGTTCTAGGTTGCTTTTCTCCTTGGTTAGTTTCCAACCGCTGCGTCTTCTCCTGCCTTTAGGGGCTATGGAGAATAGGTCAAACCACACCCCTTCTCTGTGACAGCCCCTCAGATACTGAAAGACTGCTATCATGTCACCCTTAATCTCTTCTGAACTTTTACAGAATAGAGTTGGAAGGGACCGTGGAGGTCATCTAGTCCAACCCCCTGCTCAGGAAGGAAACCCTATACCAGGGGTGGGCACCCTTGGCTCTTTTATGACTGGTGGACTTCAACTCCCAGAATTCCTGAGCCAGCCTTGCTGAGGGGAAAGGGAGAGGTTTCCAAGCTGAGCCATGCTGGCTCAGGAATTCTGGGAGTTGAAGTCCACGAGTCATAAAAGAGCCAAGGTTGCCTACCCCTGGACTAGACAGTCACTTGTCTGAGATGTTATAGGTCCTCCTGCTTGAGCAGGGGGGCTGGACTAGAAGACCTCCAAGGTCCCTTCCAGCTCTATTCTATTCTTAAGTGACTCCTCTAAAAAACATCATCCAATCAATTGAATGCAACAACTTGATGTGGGGACTGGCCTGCGCCACCTGCGCTGGCAGAGGAGACATGTTGTGGGCCCTATCAGTCAAGGAATTCCATCTGTCAGGGTCCAGGAGGCCTTTTCCATCATGGCTCCCGCTCTTTGGAACCTTGTGAGGTGAGATTGACTCTCTTCCTCCTGGCTTTCTGCAGGAGCTTGAAGACCTGGCTCTGCCAGTTTGTCTGCAGTTCCCATGGAGGAGTATCACACTGGAGCTGGTTGATGAATTAAGAGAAAATCTGACATTTCCCGCCCCACACACAAACACTCATCCCATTCCCTTCCTCCTCATCTTCCAACTATGATTTTATGTTGACTGGGATTTCTATTTTTATTGTTTTAGAGGTATTTATTTGTTAGGATTTTAATCCCAAAGGTGCTTTTTCAAAAGGCAAGTGGGCTTTGTTTTTCCTTGAAGACGTTTCGCTTCTCATCCCAAGACGCTTCCTCAGTTCTGAAGAAGAAGAACCGAAGAAGCTTCTTGGATGAGAAGCGAAACGTTTTTGAGAGGAAACAAGGAAAGTCTACTTGCCTTTTGAAAAAGCACCTTTGGGATTAAAATCCTAATAAATAAATACCTCTAAAACAATAAAAATAGGATCATGACCCTGGAGGACTGAGAACCTCCACAGACATTTAGGATTTTAATGTTTTAATGCTGTAAACGGCCCAGAGTCATTTCGTTATAAGATGGGTGACAAATAAATTCAGTCAGTCAGTCAGTACTGACTGGCACTTTTGTACATTTGCACATCCGTTTTAGCAAAGGAAACTCTGGGAGTCAAATTGCAAAAATGAGTCAAATGACTGGAGAATTCTAGAAGTTGAACTCCTAAAGTTGAAGTCATAAAGTTGTCAAAAGTGGAGAAACCCCATGGATTGATCTACCCTATAAAGCCATACAATAAAGAAATAAACAAACCAAGGTTAAAATTTGGGCTGTCGTGCCAATACATCTGTGTGTCTTAAATCAGGGTTTCATCTCTGGCCTGCAAAATGTCCTGGGACCACTAGGTGACAGCAAAATGCTATAGTTTTCTGTGCCTCTTTGCTACCATCTGTTGCTGCAGTCCAAATAGGTAGCTTCAATTCACCTGAGAATTGCACAGAATATTGCTTTTCTTTATCAGTGTCTAGACCAGGGGCCTTCAAACTTGGCCCTTTTATGACTAGTGGACTTCAACTCTCAGAATTCCTCAGCCAGGGCCAAGTTTGAAGACCCCTGGTCTAGAAGGCAAAAGATTTCGGAACGAACCTCAGAAGATTCAAAATAACTTTTTAAATACTTTTATTGCTTTCACCCGGTTGATCTGATCATTCCAACCACTGAAAATTACTTTGATGGGTCTTGTGTTTCCAGCCTTGCTTTACTAGTAAAAGTGATAGTTGGAGAGATGATCACACCCATTGATTTGAGTTGCATTACTTTTGACTCCTTAAATGCAAATTCATTGAGACCATAGGATGGATTCACACATTGTTTCAGCCATGGTATTCTTTCCTTGGTCTGTAGCCTAGTGCAGGGGTCTCCAAACCCGGCAACGTTTAAGACTTGTGGACTTCAACTCCCAGAATTCCTCAGCCAGCCATGCTGAAGTCTTCATGCTGGCTGAGGAAGTCCACAAGTCCGAAAGTCGCCAGGTTTGGAGACCCTGTCCTAATGCCATGTGTGAACCCACCTTTGATAGTTTGTAAACTATGATTTGTGGCTTAGTGTTGTATTTGAACCAGCCCACTTAATCTTTCAGGTCATCTGGCACTTTTCATTGTTTCAACAAGCAATGATAAAATTCAACAGGCAATGCCAAAGTGAAGGTCAGAACAAGGGGAGACAGAGGGAGAATGGAATGGGAGCTGAACCATCTTCCCCCCACTTTTCTGTACTTCTTCAATACTTTTACACACATCAAATATAATCTTTGAGCGTACACCAAGATTTCCTTGACTGTCCCTACTTCTGCAGCCTATAAACCACGACTGAGACTATTTTATCCTTGCATTTTTTAATTAATTTAATTCCTGTTGAATTAAGACTTTATTTGCTGTGACTATGGCTCTTTTCGGGCCACGAAGGCAGAAACTAGAAAACCACTTGAGATTTTACCGCATATTTCTGTGAGTGACTCGTACCTTGATAAAGCAGGACAAGGTTTAGGAAGGTTAGTAAAAAAGAAGCCATCCCTCAAATCCCTATAAGCTTCAGCTGGTCTCCCCTTTGACCATCTTCTCACTGCAGAATTATTTCCAGAGATCTACTAGAATAAGAAATTGGAAAACGTTGTTGAGTAATGTGATGACGACTATCAAATGTCCAATTCAAATCATCTATTAAAAAAAAAACCCTCTGCAAAACCCTTCAGATCGTCATTCAACTCATTTAATAAGGTAATCTAGCAGTTTGCTTGGGCAATTGGAGCAGATCGCCTTTGCGTGGCCTTAATCTATCTATATATTACTAAAATTATCATTGTGTTTATCTGTTTGTACCCTAAAGTAAGCCCAAATGGTACATTATACTGCAACAATTTTTGAATCAAGGGACCTTGTTAGATGGGTTGGGCTGAGAGAGTGACTGGCCCCAAGTCACTCAGTCAATTTTTCATGCTTAAAACGAGACTAAAACTTAACATTTCCTGAATTCTAGCCTGGTGTCTTTACTACTACATCTTTACCACATCTCTAAATGCTCTAAATAATTCCACTTTTCCCAGCCAGAACACTTATTGGTCAAGATGTCTATCAGATGTCATTGAACTACATCTCCCAGCAGCCCAACCAGAGAGATTTCCTCACTCACCTCATGTTCCCACCCTGTTTTTAACTTCTAACTGTCTCGGAATTTTCTTTCTTTCTTTTTTAAACAACAAAAAAAAGGCCATTTACCAGCATTCTGAAGAGTTCGGCCAGCTGTTCGTGACATGGGTTTTCCTTGTTCTTCTTCCTTCACCCTGTGTCATGGTTCCTACTAATGAAACACTTCAAAGAACTTCCAGGCATGTCTATCCCAAAGCCTTTATTACCAGTGTGACAAATTGAGGGCACATCATGGAGGTTTATGCCAGAATCTGAATTCCTCATTAGTAGGCATCTAACTTTTCTTGCTAACCCCTCCCTTATCTTGCAGTGACAAGCCACATCTTCCAATTAGCCCAGAGGGCAGAGATTCCCTTTCCTTCCTTTTCCCAGGCTTTTGTTATTTCGCCTCCCTTTTCTCTGTCATCTGAATGAACTCTAAAAATACCAGACAGTCCTGCATATTTTGTCAAAGCAAGAATATTCAATATTAGCAGCGTTGACATCCTGTTTTGGAATGGCTACTTTATCTTCCCTTTTCGCTGCATACACGATGCATATTGTCCCACCTCAGTACATTTTTTAAATAATTTCATTAGCATTTTTTTTTAAAAAAGACAAAACCAGCACAAGATAATGAAGAAAATAAAACAAAGAGAAGCAAATCAAGGAGAAAGCTAAAAATGCAAAAGAAATTTAGGCAAAAAAACAAAAAACAAATGCACAAGTAAAGCATAGGTGGCACCATGCTCAATAGTAGTAACTATGAGAGGGACCTTGGAGTCCTAGTAGACAATCACCTAAATATGAGCCAACAGTGTGCTGCAGCTGCCAAAAAGGCCAACACAGTGCTAGGCTGCATTAACAGAGGGATAGAATCAAGATCACGCGAAGTATTAATACCACTCTTCAATGCCTTGGTAAGGCCGCACTTGGAATACTGCATCCAGTTTTGGTCACCACGATGTAAAAAAGATGTTGAGACTCTAGAAAGAGTGCAGAGAAGAGCAACAAAGATGATTAGGGGACTGGAGGCTAAAACATATACGGAAAGGCTGCTGGAATTGGGTATGTCTAGTTTAATGAAGAGAAGGACGAGGGGGACATGATAGTAGCCTTCCAATATCTCAGGGGCTGCCCCAAAGAAGAGGGAGTCAGGCTATTCTCCAAAGTGCCTGAAGGCAGGACAAGAAGCAACGGGTGGAAACTAATCAAGAAGAGAAGCAACCTAGAACTAAAGAGAAACTTCCTGCCAGTGAGAACAATTAACCAGTGGAACAGCCTGCCTTCAGAAGCGGTGAATGCTCCAACACTGGAAGTTTTTAAGAAGAGACTGGACAGCCATTTGTCCGAAATGGTGTAGAGTTTCCTGCCTGAACAGGGGGTTGGACTTGATGACCTCCAAGGTCCCTTCCAACTTTACTACTATTACTATTATTAAATAGATCTTAGCATTCTGAAGAGGTGGGCCAGCTGCTTGCAACATCTGTTTTCCTCTTTTCTCTTCCCTCTCCCTCTTTAGAAAGACCACAATTATTTTTTGTTATAAAGGAATTAAAGCAAATACTTGCCTAGTCATCAAATCATTGGAATCCTGTTAAAACAGTGTTTCTCAAACTTGACTAGCTTAATCAGGATGGACTTCAACTCCCAGAATTCCCCAGCCAGTATGGGGAAAAGGAAAAAAGAGAGAGAGGAAATATCCAAAAACATTGCCCATATTCTTTCCAACAATGCCATGGGGTTAACTTCCTTCCTTCCCCAAAATATGTTTAAAAGGGCTCTTCTGCCCTCAAGAGTGTATAGTCAAGGCCATGGTTTTCCCAGTTGCAATTATGGCTGTGAAAGTTGGATCATAAGAAAGGCCGAGCGCCAAAGAATGGAGGCCTTTGAACTCTGGTGCTGGAGAAGACTCCTGCGAGTCCCCTGGAGTGCAAGGTGATCCAACCGGTTAGTGCTAGAGGAGATCAACCCTGACTGCTCTTTAGAAGGTCAGATCCTGAAGTTGAAACTCAGGTACTTTGCCCACCTAATGAGAAGGAAGGACTCACTGGAGAAGAGCCTCATGCTGGGAAAGATGGAGGGCAATAGAAGAAGGGGACGACAGAGAATGAGGTGGCTGGATGGAGTCCCTGAAGCAGCAGTAAATGGACTCCAGAAGATGGTAGAGGACAGGAAGGCCTGAAGGAACGTTGTCCATGGGGTCACAATGGGTCGGACACGACTTTGCAACTAACAACAACACCCTCAAGAGTATCTTTTTAGAGATAGGACTGGCAGATATGCATAATAAGCAAAGTAAAGCCTAAGACTGAAGTAAGGTTGTAACATGGGAAATGAAGAAGTTTTACTCTCTACTAAGTTGTGACTGCTGAAAAAAGCCTCTAAGGCAGCACAGCTGGCTGGGGAATTCTGGGAGTTGAAGTCCACACATCCTCAAGCAGCCAAGGTTGAGAAACACTGCTCTAAGGGAAGGGAGTGAAAAACGTGGTGCCGAAGCTAATTGTGACTCGAACCCTCAAAACAAGTTGAACACTTTTCTCCTGCTTGTATAATTATTCTATCTGCCAGGAACGTGGTTTTTAGGAAGGGATGTTTAGATTTTAGGGGAGTCCTCTATGTGTGTAGGAATGGATGGGTGGGTGTAGAAGTTACAATGGTGGCCATAAATGTTTGAACACAGCCACAGTGGAAGCCTCTTCCTTTTTAAAAATCTGTGTTGAAACATTGCCTGGTTATGGTTACTGTTAACTGGCCTCCCTCCCCACAGATTCTTGTGAAATTATACTACAGACTCCTGGTGCCTTCCTCTATTCTCTATTGCTCTATTCTCAAGAAAGAAAAAAGGAAGGAAGGAAGGAAGGAAGGAAGGAAGGAAGGAAGGAAGGAAGGAAGGAAGGAAGGAAAAGAAAAAGAAAGACAGAGAGAGAGAGAGAAAGAAAGAAAGAAAGAAAGAAAGAAAGAAAGAAAGAAAGAAAGAAAGAAAGAAAGAAACCATCCTTTCTTTCTTGGACCTTCTAGATCCAGAAAGCTTCATCCTTATCCAGCTCTTTCGACTGAATTGATAGATTCACACAACACCTTAACAAAGCCCAATAAAAGATGAGTAGTTCGTTTTGTTTATTCCTGCATCAGTTGTGGCACCATAAACCCACCCCTCTCTCATACACTGATTTCAGCTGATTTCCTTAGAGGAGAGCAATGTTATTTATTTGTATCCCATCTTTATTATTTTTACAAATAGCTCAGGGCAGTAAACATATTCAACACAACATTCTCCTCCTATTTTCCTTGCAACCACAGCCCTGTGAGGTGAGTTGGGCTGAGAGAGAGGGAGCTTTCAGTCTAAATCTGGCAGGGCTTTCCCAACAGAGCAACTGCTTTTATTTATTACACAGGGCACAAAAGAGAAAGGGAAGTGAAAGAGAAACAGTTTTGTCTTGGTTGGAAATATAATTGTCTGTCCCAACTTGGCAATGTGCAGAGGGGTTTATAACAATAATGATAAAGTTGGAAGAGACCTTGGAGGTCATCTAGTCCACCCCCCTGCTCAGGCAGGAAACCCTGTACCATTTCGGACAAATGGCTGTCCAGTCTCTTCTTAAAAACTTCCAGTGTTGGAGCATTCACCGCTTCTGGAGGAAGGTTGTTCCACTGGTTAATTGTTCTCACTGTCAGGAAATTCCTCCTTAGTTCTAGGTTGTTTCTCTCCTTGATTAGTTTCCATCTGTTGCTTCTTGTCCTGCCTTCCGGCGCTTTGGAGAATAGCTTTGGGGCAGCCCCTGAGATATTGGAACACTGCTATCATGTCCCCCCTCGTCCTTCTCTTCGTTAAACTAGACATACCCAATTCCAGCCACCGTTCCTTGTAAGTTTTAGCCTCTAGTACCCTAATCATCTTTGTTGCTCTTCTGTGTACTCTTTCTAGAGTCTCAACATCTTTTTTACATTGTGGTGACCAAAACTGCATGCAGTATTCCAAGTGTGGCCTTACCAAGGCATTGTAAAGTGGTATTAATACTTCATGTTTAATTAAAACTCTCACTGTTGAGTCCTTGGCTTAATGGCGAATGAGCACAGAACATCTCGTGGTTCCAACAGGTCTTTATTTGCAGCCTTTTCCACTTCGTCACAGCTCTGAGGCTCGCAGGCCTCTCAGTTCCTTTTAATAAAGTTCCCCGGCAGAATGGCAACAATTAGGCGTGCTCCGCGCTTTGCGCATGCATGCAACCCCGGTGCCAGCCAGTCTGGTCCCATTGCAATGTCCCGAGCCTGCCTCTGCAGGCTCAGGACACAACACCCCTCCCCCCCCGGCTAAGACTTACAAACTATATTGGTAGTTATTTGCGACCTCAACACGAGTGTGGTGTGCCAACCGCCACCCAGCACATCTATTGCAGCTGGACCATATCATGCCACAATGGTACCGGGCTATTGTTCTGGGATTAATACCCAATGCCCATATTTCCAATTTCCACAACAGCAGGCACCCTTTCATTGTTTCTGCTTTGCCAGCAGAGTTACAAAGTCCTCAAGATACTTGGGAGATCTTTTTACTCTCTGTGACCTCCTTAGATTTTCTGAGAGTCCCCTATTTCTTCTTGTACAGAGGATGACATGGAGTTGCCCCGTCTTTCAAACTCTGGTGGTCCCTGTGAACTGTGCCCTGTTGCCTGGTCTGCTTGCTTGCCCACCGGGCTATTCAGACCAGGACTTTGCTCTCCCATGAACCTGGTTGACCTGCATAATTGTAGGCTCTCTGGCCCCTCTATAAGCCTGCCACTGTTTGGCAGTTCTGTAGAGCCTTCCAAGCCCACAATGGACCTATCAAGGGACTGCATCCCTTCACTCCCAAGCCCTGTAACGGGATTGTCTGGGGATTCTGTATTGCCCCAAAACTCAGTTGCCCCCCAATCTGTGCCGGAGGTGTCAGAATTGGGATTTGCCTCTCTGATCACCTCCCTGTGTGAAGGCTTCCTTCTGGAAATAGTAGCAGTACTGGGCCAACTGGGCTGTTTGTGTGCCAGCTCTCTTGCAATGTTTGGTTATTAGGATGCTCCCGGTTATTCTCCCTGACTGGAGTGCTGAATGGTAGTTGTGAATGATGAGTATGCCCCCTGGGTTACTCCCTGGCTGGAGTAGGCACTGGCGCCTGTGTGGGTTCTTGTTCCCTTGGAATCCTGTTTGGAACACTTGTGGAACCTTGGAATAGGCCGTCTGTGGCCTCTCCGTTTGGCCCCGGCTGCTGCCAACACCCTTCCCTTTGCCCATAGTGGTCCCCCTCCCCCCTGGAAAAGGCCCAGGAGTTCCAGAGGGTAAGTCCAGTCTTGTACGCAGCTGGTTGATATGCCACCGAAGGACATGACCGACATCCAAAGAAACCTCTTATGACAAAGGGCCAGTAAACTTGCATACTACAGCAGGAGCCCACAAGTGACCAGGCCCATAGTTACGGGTCCATACTGGGGCACCCACTTGCAGATACCGCGGTGCCCTGGGTTGGGTGGCCTTAGGAGGCAGTCTGTCTGGGTGCAACCCGTCAAGTTTGGTGATCAGTTTGCGCCCCCAACGGTGTTCAGCTGGACTCTTCCCAGTGGAAGTTGAAGGTGTGGTGCGGTAAGCAAGAAGAAAGTCTGCCAACCTGTGGTGCCAGTCCCCATAGGTCAGTTTTTTTAAAGCATCCTTGGTGATGCAGACCATCCATTCAGCCATACTGTTGGTGGAAGGGTGGAATGGTGCAGAGGTGGCATGACGAATCATGTTGGCCTGTAAGAAAGCTTGAAACTCGAAAGAAGTGAATTGAGGGCCATTGTCAGACACCAGAACATCAGGAAGCCCATGTGCAGCAAAAATCCCCCTCAGTACTTTGATGGTCTTGGCAGCAGTGGCTGAAGAGACAAGTACAACCTCAAACCACTTAGAATAGCTGTCAACAAGGACCAAGAAGAATTGACCCTGAAAGGGCCCAGCGTAATCAATGTGCACTCTAGATCAAGGTGACTGTGTTTCCTTCCATCTATGTACAGGAGCCTGGGACATTTCTGGGCGCGAGCGCTGACACAGATGGCATCCGTGCACCTTAGCCTCTATTTCCCTGTCTAAACCTGGCCACCACAAATGGCTGCACGCAAGCGCCTTCATTCTGACAATACCAGGATGGCCCTCATGAAGGGAAGCCAAGACCCTAGGCCTCATTGAAGTAGGAATAATAACTCTGCTGCCCCACAGCAGACAACCCTGAAAAGTGGATAACTCATGTTTCTTAAGCCAGAAACTCTGAAACTCACTACCTGGACAACTCTCTGGCCATCCAGACAAAACCCAGAATAATACACGAGTGAGTGTGAGGTCTGTGGCTGATTCAGCAGCCACATCCCTGGCATTTAAAGGTGACTCAGGCAACGCCTGAATGGAAAGAATGTTGATGGCAGGGGCAGGGTCAGCCTCTACCATTTGTAAAGGTAGTCTACTAAGGCCATCAGCATGGCCTATTTCCTTGCCAGGTTTGTGAACCAAAGAAAAGTCATAGGCTGACAGAAAGATGGACCATCTCAGCATTCTGGGGGAGATGATATGGGGGGTTTGTTTGTTTGTAGTAAACAACCCCAACAAAGGCTTGTGGTCAGTGTAGACCGTGAAATGTCTGCCATATAGAAAATCATGGAATTTTTTAATCCCAGCAACAATGGCCAATGCTTCTCTGTCTATCTGAGCTTAGTTTCACTCAGCAGAAGACAGGGTTCTGGAGTAATATGCAACAGGAACCTGAGTTCCATCAGGTCTTAGATGGCTAAGTACTGCTCCCACCCCATAAGGGGAAGCATCACAAGCGATGCACACAGGAAGAGTTTCATTAAAATGTGCAAGCATGGATGTAAGTAAGGCCTTAACCGCATTGAAGCTTGCTTCATGTGCTTGTAACCACTGCCACACTGCCTGTTTGTCCAAAAGCCGATGAAGTGGCTCAGCTACATTAGCTTTGTTAGGGATGAATGCATTGTAGAAGTTCAAGAGGCCCAGAAAAGCTTGTAATTCAGCTTTAGATTTAGGCCTAGGAGCTTGCAGAATAGCAGAGACTTTTTGCAAAGGAAGACATATCATTCCAAGATGCCTTGAGAGAGGTCACTGCAGAAGAGGCAGCAGGTGGGGCAGTCAAGAACATGAGGCCCATCAGGAACAATCCAGAAGCAGTTTCCATGCACCATGAAGGAGTTCAGGAGAGCTTGGAGGAAGATCCTGAAGATGAGGTGGATCATCTCTACCCAGACAAAGAAAGAAAGCAGAAGGAAGGCAAAGAAAAGTCTCTGCTGCAAGTCTCTGTTCCTAAGCCCACATACAAATCGGTCTCTCAACCTTTCTTCTAAGTCTTTAAAATCACAAGGCTTAGTTGCTCTTCTCAAGGCTGCAATGTACTCTTTAGCTGATTCACCAGCTCTTTGATCCCTCTGTTCAAAAGTGTGTCTCCATGCAATAACAGACAACTTGGGCTGAAAATGTTCCTTCAATAATTTTTTTAAAATCTGTGTAAATGACAGATTCAAGAGGAGCAGGGGCTGATAAATTTTCAGCAATTTCAAATGCATCTTGACCACAAACACACAGCAAAGTAGCGGCCTTTAAGCCATCTTCTCTTACTTCATTTACTCTAAAATAATTTTCTACCCTGGCCACATAAGACTCCCATCTTTCTGGGTGTGTGACATTGAATTCAGACAGTCTCCCTAACTTTGCCATTTTTCTTCTTGTAAGGAAGGGGTCTATCAGCCAGCTTACCTCCAGCGATGCTGTACTGGCAGGCCAGGTGCTGAATTTAATGCCGTCTTCCTCTCTTCAACAACTCCTGGTGGGCTTACAATTCTGCTCTATTCGTTGTAAGCCATCCCACCTTCGTTGCCAGTGTTAAGTCCTCGGCTTAATGACGAATGAGCACAGAACATCTCGTGGTTCCAACAGGTCTTTATTTGCAGCCTTTTCCACTTCGTCACAGCTCTGAGGCTTGCAGGCCTCTCAGTTCCTTTTAATAACGTTCCCTGGCAGAATGGCAACAATTAGGCGCGCTCCGCAATTCACGCATGCGCACGACGCCGGCACCAGCCAGTCTGGTCCCGGGCAGTTTGCAATTGCCCGGGACCATTGCAACGTCCCGAGCCTGCCTTTGCAGGCTCAGGACATAACACTCACCATCCCAACTTTACAAGAGGAAGGCTGACGTCCAGCAGTTTGCACATCAAAATCTGTTAAATTGGAATGAAAGGTTTTTGCTTAAAAAGATAATAGCCTCAGCTACAAACCTTCTCCATTTGATACTCACAGGATATTGGTGGAAGGTGTGTGTGTGTGCGTGTGTCTGAGGCAGGGGTAGGCAACCTTGGCTCTTTTATGACTCATGGACTTCAACTCCCAGCATTCCTGAGCCAGCATGGCTCAGCTTGGAAACCTCTCCCTTTCCCCTCAGCATGGCTGGCTCAGGAATTCTGGGAGCTGAAGTCCATAAAAGGGCCAAGATTGCCTAACCCTGGTCTGGGGAGAAGATTGTAATATCCAGGATTCTCTGGCAGTAGGAGTAACAACTTTGCTCTCTACGAAATTTGGGAGTTGTTGTCCCAAAGATCGGGAAGACATAAATCTGCTTGGGCATTTGTGAATGGCCAGAATTAACTACGATAAAGATCTGTGCACTTTAAATAATTATGCCCTTACACATAATTTTTCATTCCATTTTATTTAAGCATTCTTCAACTACATTTCACACTATTAAACTAAGATGGAGAATTGGAAGAAACAATTCATACCAAATTCCATAAAAACCAACAATAATTGTCCTGTTATCCCCATCTTGGGTTAAAAAAAAACCCCTCACATATTAAAACACAACAGCTATTGCAGTTCCATAAAACAGTGTGAGAGGAGAACAGAAGCTATATGAGACATGTCTCTTTCAATATTAGGGAAAATAATAACAAAATCGTGTAATCAAACTATTAGGCTTTCATAACTAAATAAAGCAGAGTAAGGGAGCTGTAACATGGCTGGCTAGGATGCTGCAGTTTATGGGGAAAAAAGCTACATCTCAGGCAGCTAAATGTAACATTTAAACTGTAGGTAAGAGGAAATGCAATGAATCAATGAAAAGTGATCCATGTTTGTTAATGATTCATCAGCAAGAGGGCTTTTGCAAAGCAAGCAAAGAAAAATCAAATTGTAACCGGTGTTCCCATTGGAGAGATTGAGAACTAAGAGGACACTGATCTATTCTAATTCATTATTCACCTGCAGGAATAACCAAGAACATCAAATTTCTGAATCCAGAACTTAGATGTATTAATCCTATAATAAGAAGTGTTATTTGAGCTGGTATGGGTCAGTTGAAATAACACTGGATTTAAACTGGCTCCCATTGGACTCAGTCATGGGGGGCAAATGGAATAAAATGAGAGTGCATATCTGAATCTGGGATTCATACTTGCAGTTAGACGCAGGTATATATACATACAGATGCTGCTGTGTGTATGTGGAGAGAGAGAGAGAGAGAGAGAGAGTCAGACACAGAGAGACAAATACACACACACAAAACCACACACACAAACACACACACAAATGCAAATACACAACAGCACCTGGAGGAATCAACCAGATTCAATTCACTCTAGCTTTGGACTGAGACAAAGAAGGCAGTTGGGATGTGTAGGGAATAGATTTGGAAAGAACATCCTGAGCATTGCCTGTGTCTTCTCAAGCCAACAGGTTTTGGAATGGGGTGGTTTTGCAGAGTTCATAACTGGGATTCCAGCTCTGCTGAAGATCTGGTTTTGTTGGTTGCTGAAGTCTGCCTGACCTCTTCTGTGAAGGCATTCTCAATTGCAGATAGGAAGGACTTTCTCAGGCTGTCTTTGAAATCCTGAGCCATAAAGATGTAGAAGATGGGATTGAGGCAACTGTTGATAAAAGCCAAGCAAGATGCTATGGGAACACCAATATCCACTGCCAACCACATGTCTAGACGTGATGAATATTTCAGGTCAATGAAAGAAAAAACATGATAAGGGAACCAGCATACAAAAAAGGCCACAAACACAGCTGTGATGACCTTATAGGGCTTGCTTGACTGAAACAATTGACCCTTTCTGAGTTTCAAGACAATCTCCCCATAACAGAGAAGAATAACTGTGAAGGGAATGACAAAGGCAAAGACGAAGTTGCTGATGATTATATTCTGACGCCTGTACATTTTAATATCTGTGGTGTTACCATAATCGTTAAAGCAGTTCATAACTTTCATATTTTTTACGGTTCCCCCGAAATAGAGATGGGGAGAAGACAACAAAAAGGCTAGGATCCACACACCTAAGGCCACAAAAGAAGTCAGCCAAGGTGTTCGGTGATTCTGAGCCCAGACCGGATGCCTGACAAAAATGCAGCGGTCAATGCTGATGACCATAAGGAAATAAACACTGGCATAGAGGTTGAGGAAGAAGAGGGTTTTGTTCATCTTGCACAAGAACTGATTGATGTACCACTTGAAGACCACAGCAGCATGGACAAAAATCAGGGAAAAGATGAAGATGATGTCAGCAATGGCCAGGTTGAGGAACCAGACTGTGTTGACCGTCTTCTTCATACGAAAGCCAGTGATGAAGATGACCAGCCCGTTGCCAAGGACCCCCAGCACAAATGCAAAGCTGCAGATCACCAAAGAAGCAATCTGCATCCTTTCCTGCAATCTTTCATGGTCCGCAAAGAAATCCTCAAATTCATAGTCTTCAGTTGTGTTGCTCATTTCCTCTGACCAAGCCAGTCCTTCACTGGTGACTTCTCCCTTAGAAGCAAAAACATGAAACACAAGAGATGGAGCAGGTAACCTTGTAACTGTAGCCCAGTTTAATAGTTTGGAGATCAAAAGGTCACAAACTGGGAAAGGGATATTTCCTGATCAATATTTCTATATGCAGAAATATTTTTCTCATTTAGACAAGGGCTCCAATTTTTGCACCAGTTGAAGTTGACTACAAACCAGAATCCTTTCTGGCTTAAAAACTGGTTTGGAGCGAATGAGAGAGGGCCACCTTACTTATTTACTTCAACTGAAGGAAGAATTCCTGCTTATGAGGTTTTTTATTTTCAAAAAAAGACAGGAAAATGAGACCTGGGCAGCTAAAACCGATGCTAAAAGGGAGGAACTGAAAACTGGAGGATGAACTGAGCTTTAGAGAAGCTGATGAGAGAATCCAGAAATCTAACCAAGAGGGGAAAAAAAAGATTGGTGGTGAAATAGAAAGCATTAAAATGCATCAAAGACTACTTTCAACTTCTCTTCTTTAGTGTTTGAATGGTGGTAAGCAGCTAAATCTCAAGAAATCTCTCATAATGTCAATGCTGAATATAGAGAGTTAGGTCAGATCTTAGCTAGATTCCATGCTGGGATACAGCGAAGACTTGCAGGAAGAAAAAGAAAAGACACAGAACTAACAATGATGAATCTGGGTTGTTCCTGCATTGAATTTTTTGCTCTGCCTCTCTGCCCTGCCTCTCAAAGATGCTGGATTCCTTTCTGCTTCTCAGAATCTTTGCCTTCAAGTGGTAGAATTTGCTGGTGTCCTTCTAGAAGAAACCACACAGGAGTTTTCCAACTGCATTGGCTAAATCTTCATCAGGAAATAATCTGTAGATAGCAAGGAAAATTGCACTTACCTTAGAATAATCAGAAGACCGTTTGGTGTGTGTTTCTTCCGACTCCTGTTGTAGCATATGGCGGGATTCTGCTGAAAGGGGCTGAGCTAGGATCAAGAACCCTGAATACGTAATCAGAGAGGAACCAGTAGAGATTATATGGGAAGTGCAGCCTTAAAGTTTCTTCACTTTAATCGCAGTTTTAATCTGTACTCCCCGCCCTTCAGAGGTTTTTACCTGTCAACCGATTCCACTGATGGCCCCTTTCCCATCTTAACATTTCCAGGGATGGAAATGGTACACTTTTAAAACATGTACTGTATTTCACTCATCTTGCACTAGTTAAAAAGCAAAGGCATGATGCGAAAGAAAAGAACGGAATATGTTTCCGATCTTGTCCTCTTGAAGGCAGAAGCAAAATGATTATGCCTATTATTTAGAAGAGTATTAACCTCCCTCCCTCCCCACACGTTCTTGTGAAGTTGTACTACATCTTCCTGATGCCTTCCTCTATTTTGTATTGCTCTATTCTCAAGAAAGAAAGAAAAAGGAAGGAAGGAAGAAAGGAAGGAAGGAAGAAAACCATCCTTTCTTCCTTGAATCTTGTGGATCCAGAAAGCTTAATCCTTAATCCAGTGCTTTCTATTGAATTGATCAATGCACAACATCCTTAATTAAGCCCATTAAAAGATGAGTGATTTATTTTGTTTATTCCTGCATGGGTTGAGGCACCACAAACCCATCCCTCTCTCATGCACTGATTTCAGCCGATTTCCTTAGTGGAGAGAAATGCTATTTATTTGTATTAATTTGTATTATTTTTACAAATAGCTCAGGGCAGTAAACATATTCAACATAACTTCCTCCTTCTATTTTCCTTGCAACCACAGCCCTGTGAGGTGAGTTGGGCTGAGAGAGCGAGAGCTTTCAGTCTAAATCTGGCAGGGCTTTCCCAACAGAGCAACTGGTTTTATTTACTATCAAGGGCACAAAAAGAGAAAGGGAAGTGAAAGAAAAACAGTTTTGTCTTGGTTGGAAATGTAATTGTCTGTCCCAACTTGGCAATGTGCAGAAGGGTTAATAATAATAATAAATAATAATAATAATAATAATAAAGTTAGAAGGGACCTTGGAGGTCATCTGGTCTAACCCCCTGCTCAGGCAGGAAACCCTATACAATTTCAGACAAATGGCTGTCCATTCTCTTCTTAAAAGCTTCCAGTGTTGGAGCATTCACCACTTCTGGAGGCAGGTTGTTCCACTGGTTAATTGTTCTGTCAGGAAGTTTCTCCTTAGTTCTAGGTTGCTTCTCTCCTTGATTAAGATCCGTTGCTTCTTGTCCTGCTCTTTGGAGAATAGCTTGACTCCCTTTTCTTTGGGGCAGCCCTGAGATATTGGAAGGCTGCTATCATGTCTCTCCTCGTCCTTCTCTTCATTAAACTAGACATACCCAATTCCAGAAACCGTTCCTTATATGTTTTAGCCTTCAGTCCCCCAATTATCTTCTCTGTACTCTTTCTAGGGTTTCAACATCTTTTTTACATAGTGGTGACCAAAACTGGATGCAGTATTCCAAGTGTGGCCTTACCAAGGCATTGTAAAGTGGTATTAATGGTTCATGTTTAATTAAAACTCTCACCATCCCAACTTTACAAGGGGGTTGTGGAAGGCTGACGTCCAGCAGTTTGCACATCGAATCTGTTAAATTGGAGTGAAACGTTTTTGCTTAAAAAGAAAACAGCCTCAGCTACAAACCTTCTCCATTTGATACTCACAAGATATTGGTGGAAGGTGTGTGTGTGTGTGTGTGTGTGTGTCTGAGGCAGGGGTAGGCAACCTTGGCTCTTTTATGACTCATGGACTTCGACTCACAGAATTCCTGAGCCAGCATGGCTCAGCTTGGAAACCTCTCCCTTTCCCCTCAGCGTGGCTGGCTCAGGAATTCTGGGAGTTTATTTATTTATTTATTTATTTAAATTTATAAACCGCCCCACTCCCACAGGACTCCAGGTGGCTAACAATAAAAACACAATATAACTTAACAAGACAAACAATACAGTAACATTCATCCAGGGGTCAGATTTTATAAACCCCAGGCCTGCTGGAAAAGCCAGGTCTTAAGCAGCTTGCGGAAAACCAACAGTTAATTATAACTCTCACCGACCTGGGGTCCAAGCCCTACAGTTCACGGTTTTAAGGGGTTCCCAGCAGCCCCACCCCACCCCACCACCTTTCCAGCAACAATCCCAGGTGTTACATTTCCACCCCCTTTTTCCTCACTGCTGGTGGATGGGAGACTTCAGAGAGGAGTAGATGAAAGCTAATGGCCCCATTGTTATAATTTAGTCATTTTGGTGGTAGCCACATTCAATCCCTTTGAAGTCGTACCGAAGGAAGTGAGGGCCATAAAACCCCTGTTCACCCCCTTCCCCTTCATCATATGACAGAATCCAGAGAGGGCAGAAATGGGGTTTTTCATAGTCGATAACTAGAGATGAAATATAATTGGATTCTGACATCCTGCCCCCTTAAAAATAAGATAGATCCACCTGAAAGAAAACAAAACAGGTATAGAAGTTAGTCAGGCTTGTTAGGATACTCTGTGTGAAACTTCTTTAATAGCTTCAGGGCTCTGACATGACGTTTATGGACCCACTCATTTTGTGAGGCAGGGAGGTGTTTCCATGCAGCTAGGTACTGAGTCGCTCCATGATATCTCCTAGAGTCTAGGATTTCCTTTATTTCAAAGTGTTGTTCGCCCTCCACCATGATTGGAGGTGGTGGTGGGGGGATTTTTGGCCGTAACGATGATTGATGTTCTCTTTTGAGCAAGCTGCAATGAAACATTGGGTGTATTTGCCTGAGATTTTTGGGTAATTCTAATTCTACTGTTACTGGGTTTATGATTCTTTTAATTGGAAAAGGCCCTATATATTTTGGTCCAAGTTTTTTACAGGGTTGTAGGGACTTTAGGTATTTTGTAGATAAGTACACCATTTCTCCTATAATGAATGGTGTAGGCTCAACCCTTTTTTATCGGCTTGTGCTTTGTATGCCTGCCTAGCTTCATCTAGTGCTTTTCTAACTATTGGCCAGCTGTTTTGTAATTGTTCCATCCATTCTTTCAGTGATGGGATCTCCGGTTCATTTGGGGTTAATTCTGGCATGGGGTTGAAACTTTGACCGGTGGCTATTTGGAAAGGAGTGTAACCTGTGCTGGAGTGGACTGCATTATTGTAAGCAACTATTGCGAAAGGGAGTAGGTCCGTTCAATCAGACTGTTGGAAATTAAGAAAGCATCTTAAATATTGCTCAAGTACTGAGTGACACCGTTCTGTTTGTCCATCTCCTTGTGGATGATGGCTAGATGTCAATCCCTGAGTGGTCCCTAAGAGGGATAAAAATTCCTTCCAAAATGCAGACGTAAATTGCACTCCCCTATCAGAGATGATGTGTTGGGGTGCCCCATGTAATCTGTAAATATGCTGAATGAAAAGTTTCACTAAGGCTTTTGCAGTGGGAATCTTTTGGCAAGGGATAAAGTGCACCTGTTTGGAAAACAAGTCCATGACCGTCCAGACAACAGTATTCCCATTGCTTTCTGGTAATTCCACTCTAAAATCCATGGCTATTTCCCTCCAGGGGCAGAGGGATTTGCCACTGTTTGTAACAGTCCGGGCGATTTCCCTTGCAACCTCTTTGCAGTTGCACACTTTGGGCAGCTGGCCACATAACTTTCTATGTCCTTTTTTATGGATGGCCACCAAAATTGCCATTTAATTAAGTGTAATGTTTTTACAAATCCAAAATGCCCTGCTGATTTTGTGTCGTGGCAAAGCTGCATGAATGTGACTCTTTGGGTTGTTGGTATATATAACTTTTCACCCACCCAAGGCAGCCTGACTCTCATTGTGCACACATTTTTGTTTTTCTGGAACCATTCATCTGTTTCTAAACTTTTCCGGAATTCAATTCCGGTTTGGCTGCCCAGCTGTGGTTTTAATTTAGCTAGGGCTCTGGTGGTTACTGGCGCTGACAATTGTGATTCTACCATCATCGGTTTAGAGTCGGTGGCTCACGTACTGTTATTTTGGGGCATGTGAGATAGTGCATCTGCCAGGAAGTTCTTTCCGCCCGGTAAATGCTTGAGCATAAATTGGAACTGGTGAAAATGCTGGGACCAGCGGGTTTGCTTGGGGTTGAGTTTCCTGGGTGTTTTCAGGGCTTCCAAATTTTTGTGGTCAGTCCACACCTGGAAGGGGATTTTGTTGCCTTCAAGGAACTGGCGCCACGTGAGTAATGACCAACATATCCCGTATGCCTCTTTCTCCCATACGGGCCAGCACTGTTCCATTTCCGTGAGTTTTTTGGATGTATATGCACAGGGTTGCAATATCCCTTCATCATTTTCTTATAATAGTACAGCCCCCACTGCCACATCACTTGCATCCGCCTGTATTATAAAGGGCTTATCCATGTCTGGGTACCTCAGCATAAGCGTAAAGAGCCGTCCTTCTTCTCTCTAAAGAGGACCAGGGCAGCCACTTTAGGCTTGGCTGGCTCAATGAAACCTCTCTCTAGGTTTTTCTTTATGAATCTTTCCATTTCCTCCTTCTCCTTTGGGCTCATGGAGTATAATCTGGGCTTCGGGAGTTTTGCCCCAGGCTTGAATTCAATGGCACAGTCTGTGGGTCAGTGTGTGTGTGTGGGGGGAGCTCATCCGCCCTCTCCTCACTGAAAACCTCAGCAAGGTCTCTGTATTCCTCTGGTATTTCTGGTAGTCCCTTTTCCTCTCCCATTGATGCTTTTTCTGTTCTTGATTCTGGTAGCCCCCCTTGGGATTTTAAGTCCATAGGGTCCCCCTTTGGGAATTTGATTTCTGCCATCCTCCAATTCACCCAGGAGTTCCATTTTTTTTTAACCATTCCATCCCTAGGATCATTGGGCATTCCATGCTTGGGGTCACCACAAACGTTATGTCCTCCTCATGTTTACCCAGGGAGAAGTGTATTGGTAAAGTGGCTATGGTAGCTGACATCCCCCCCCCCGCTATGGACCCATCTAACTGGCCAAATGAGA